TAATTTTTAAAAGTGTCTAAGTAACTTAGGAGCTTAAGTTCCATTTTCAAAAGCAACTTAGGCATTTAAGAGAGTAAGTCTCATTGAAAGTCAATGGAACTTAGGCTACTAAGGCCCACATCCTCAAAGGTATTTAGCTACCAACTACCGTATCTGGGCATAAATGCCTGGGTCACTTTTGAAAATGTACTTAGGCTCCTAAGTCACTGAGACGCTTTTGAAAATTTTACCCAACATCCATATTCTTGCCTTTTTTAACAAAAATGAGTTTAAAATGAGTTTAGCAGAACAGCTAAATTGTACCCCATGGCTGTATGTTTTGTGGACCTCTCTGAATTGATATTGTTCGACAAGAATTTTGGTTAGCCTTTTCAAGATACAGTAACAAGACCCAGCTGTCCCATTTTCCTTCAGCCCTTCAGTGAAACTGAGAAGTCTGTGCCATTTGCCTCAGTTCCAGTTTAATCCACTGTTTGCAATACAATGTCAGCATCAAGCCACTTGACAGCATTTCTTGTCTGGCTCCCTGGGTGAGACTGTGTGACAAATGGACTACTCAGCCAAGAGGGGCTGGCTGCACGACTAACATTTAGCATGGTCAGTATCCATCCAGGTAGTTTCTTGACAAAGACAAAAATCTTTTCTGCCAGGTTCACAGGGAGGGAAGCAAAGCTCAAATGACTCCTGGGGCTTAGGTGCTTCTGTCATTGCAAAAGCATTTCTTCGCTAGTGTGTGTTCTGTGATGTTACATGCAATCCTTTATCATTCCTGTTTAAAGAGTTTATTCTGAGCCAACGAATACCACAAAAGCACTTACATATTTCTTAGGATTTGGTGGTCAGCTGCCCTTTTCCAACTTGCAACTTCTTGAAACTTTTTGTAGCATTCTACTTCTTGCAGAGAGATTTTCCTGATATTTGGCTTAAACTTTCCCTTTACTAAAAGGAATTATTGTACCCTAGGCATATCACAATATTCCACATGAGTATCACACTGGCGCCCTAAACAAAGGGACTATTACTTCCCTGCTCTCGTATGTCGGGCCTTTATATAAGCAATACCAAGTAGCATACTGGCTTTTCTGAAGCTTGCAGTGCTGCTGCTTACGCTGTACTTGTACCTCCAGGGTGGTCATTACAGCCCCTTTCAGAAACCCTCTGGACAAAGGGAAGGATTGTCATGTAGCTAAAGTACTGGACTTGGAATCAGGCACTGATACCTCAAACAGTCAAAAAATCACAAGTCGGGCCCCCAGAAATATGGATTTACTCAAAAATCATGAGATTTTTTTTAAAATGACACATTTTTGGGTGCTTTTCTGAGTTTTTTAAACAGGGGGCGCTCTGCAAATTTTCAAGCTTTTCTCCCCAGCCACGAGGGCTAGAAACGAACTTATTTTAAAAAAGAATCAAAGCTGAGATTCTCCCAAAATTCTCCCATGACACAGGAGCTGGGGCTTTCAAAAAAAAAAACACTTAAAAATTTCATGAGACTAGTGATAAAATCATAAGAGTTGGCAACACTGCTTGTATACAGAAAATATGGTGTAGAGTAAAGATTATTATTTATTTGTATACTCTAGCACCCAGGAGCCGCAGTCATGGACCAGACCCCATTGTGCTAGTCACTGTATAAACACAGAGTAAAAAGATGGCCTCTGAGACTGTTTGCAGGCAGATCAGGGAGCACAAACAATGGGACAATACTGGTCAGCATGATAGACAGTGGTCACAGCAATAGGTGACATATGCCCTGAATTTGGCTGTGTGGCTCAGAACCCTGTGGTTAACAATCTCTCACAGATGTGTTCCTCCAAGTCTCTCAGAACTCAAGCTCAGTCACAGTCTTGGGTTTCATTATTTACAATGTCATGGTAGGCAGGTCAATGACCTTTAGAACATCTTTCAGAATAAGCATATGTTATGCTTCTTCTAATGAGGGAGTCCTGCTGCCAGAGGGAGCTTCTCTCCACCACTCAGAGTATTGATTACTTGCCAAAGCCACTTACTCATTGATGTGAATCTGCTAAGAAATGGCAGGATTAATGTCAAGCATTTGATGTGGAACTCATCAACCTGGGCTGTCAAAACAAAAAGAAAAGACACGTATCATTTTAAAGTGTTATGATCCATACCCCAATTATAGAATATTTTATTTTTCAAAGATATGTGCATATATTTGCACACACACACCTGTATGTGCCTAAATTATGTATGTAAGCACCCTAAGTGCATGCATACTGTTGTATGTTTCCTATCCTAAAATATTATTTAGTGTTGTTAAACACATGCTATATATCACTGTAGAGGTGGCTGCATTTCTGTGGACAGTATAAATATATACTATGTAAAGCATCGTGGCATGAAAGATGCTATAAAGGGAGGAAGGATGGTCTTTAGGTTAAAGCACTAAACTAGGATTTAGGAGTCCTGCGATCAATTCCCAGTTCTGCCCACAGACTTCTTGTATGACCTTAGGCAAGTCATTTGAGATAAAATTTTCAGAAGCCCTAATAATTTAGGATTGTAAGACCCATTGAAAGTGAATGGTAAGTAGGCGCCTACATCACTTAGGCACTTTTGAAAATTTTACCCTAAGTCTCACTGTGCTTCACTTCCTCATATGTAAAGTGAGGATTATAATATTCCTTACATCAAAGCGGTTTTGTGAAGTTTAAAGACTCAGTGTTAGTTAAGTACTTTGAGACTAAAAATGCTAAGTAGTAATTTATTTTGATGATGATATAGCAACAACAACAATAATAAACGTTCAACTTGTCTCCCTTTCTCCTTTTGTATGCCAGTTTTACACAAGGACTCCAGATTATACCAGCATGAGTGAGGGGAGAATCAGGCTCAGCTTTCTATACCAACAATCTTCATTGCTCCTACATCTGTTTTGTAAAATATTCACAGTTTGGCTGTCTGTATCCACAGATGAAATACTGTAGACATGAGTTTAATTTTCTACTGATTATTGCAGAATTTTAATTTTGTCTCTGCAGTATAAATGGAAGCAAAGACTGTACCGAGCCACTTTTACACCACATAAATGAATGGCTACTGCCTAGCTTTAGCATTTCTGTGTGTGTAATTGTTAAATGATATGCAACCCAGAAAGCCCCTCTTTAAGATCAGGGCTTGAACATCCAGAGGAGTGTCCCTGTTCTGTCATGGACAAGAAGATGTTGACAAGACTAGAAACTTCAACTCGTAGAAGATGCAAGTAGAATCCCTTCTGCCAGTTAAGGGTGCATGGTGACTTATCTTTTCTAAAAGATACAGATACATAGACTGCTGATGCAGTTCCACCACTACCACCTTGGTTGTGTGAGGACATAACCTAAGCTGCCCCCTTATTTCTTGCACCCACAACACAACTAGGACCCCAACTCTGTACCACTGTTACCCAACCTTGCCCAGCATCTGTCATGAAGTCTGACTCTTCTACAGCCACAGCCTCATCTCCAGAGGACATAACTGCTTCCCCCTTTAGCAAAAGTGTGGCTGCTCTCCACCTACTAGTGGCATTGTGCTTAAGCATAGTACTGGCATAGGCAGCCCTTGAAGAGGGCAACCACGGCCAAAGAAGCCCAAAAGTCAGCAAAGGTAGGGACCTTAACAAAATCCATCTGCACATTGCCCACCCATGTCTCCATACGAGCACATATTTATCACAAGCTAGGAAGACTCTTTTTGCTTTGACCGCAAGCCCGGTCACCTAATAAATATGCACAGTAACAACCCTATCCATGAGAACAGCACTATTTTTACTGTTATTCTTGCCTCTTCTGTTGCTCACCTGCTCACTTGGCTCTCTGGACATTCCCTTCACGAGACCCCTGTTGGGGAAGTATTGATCCCATTTTACAGATGAGGAAATGTAGGCACTGAAGTGAAGACGCTTGCCATGCAGGCAGTTGGTACTGAAGCTGGGATTAGAATGTAAGAATATTTACTCCCTTCCCTAGAGGGATAGGAATTGCCAGACTAGATCAAACCAGTGATCCATCTAGTTCAGTATCTTGTCACTGAGAGTGACCAGTATCTGATGTAGTCACTCTTTATATAAAGGGTGTATTTGTACATTGTTTATACAAGGTTGATGATGAATAGATGTTTTGACAATTGTTTACTCAAATATTATAGATTGCTATAGAATCCAATTGGCCAATAAAATGCTTATAACCATGACTTATACCATTCTATTACATCTACTAGTGTCCTTATAGTAATCTGTAACACATACCTGTCATGTATTTAATGTGCTTGTAACATTTATTAATAATTTATACAAGGACCCTTAATTTCAGGGTCTGACACTTAATTCTTCAGATTCCTGTTCTTTCATGGTTGTCTGGGTTGTTCTGTGGCTCTAACTGCTCAAGGAAGGTTTGTTCCATGAACTGGGCTTTTACTCCAGCCCCTCCATGTAGTTGTGACTGTCAAGACTGCAAAGGAAGTAAGGCTTTAATGGTTTAAAAATTCTACTTATCCTTTTGGTTTTGCTTGGCTGTGACAAAACAATAGGCAAGAGTGCGACAGAAAAAAAGAAGAGACTTATTCCTATTATGTTAGCCAGCATTAAAACTGGCTACACTGGCCATGCTGGCTTTTTTCAGTCTCTCTTGTCTCACACCTTGGCAGATTGTGACGCTTGAAAATAATTTACTAACTTTTCGGCAGGATCGCTTTTTAGTTGCCGCAATCTACGCCAACCTGATACACAATAGATAGGTTACCCAAAGCAAGAGCTCGTTATCCTTATTAATATTTGCTGCTGGCTGCAGTTATTGATCGTCCTGCATGACAGTGAGGTTTTACTGGGAAATTTGTGGGAGAAGTTTTGACGGTGATATTGATGTATTCAGAAAGTCGCCTGGCTAATGGGGTGAATCTCCATGTCTGTGGGGTCCGCCCTTCAATCATTTCCCTGACTCCCTGCAAGTCTGCAAGTCCCCCTGAGGAGGCATCAGACCTTCTACTTCTCCATCGCCAGGACTGACAAGAGGTCCCTTTAGAGTCCTCCACTCTACTGTAAAGGGGGTGGGGATTTTTACTCAGAAGACTTAAAAAGGGAACCCCAAATTGCAACCAGATCAAATCTCTTAACACACAATCCTAGCTCACCCTATCCAAGACTACTGATTTACAGGGGAACTAAGTATGAAGGTAAGTCAGAAGCTTTTGATACTTGGAAACATTTTGGTAAATAGTAGTTTCTCCTACAGTTTTAGTTGTATGTATTATTTTAGGAACAATGGGGGTGGTTTGTAAGGTTTTATTTTTAAGTTAGAAAACAAGAAAAAATGTTATGGTGATTTTCAGTGTACTGTAAACCAAGCAGATTAAGCCATTAACAGCACAACTTCTAAAACAGACAGGATCAAACAAACATCTGTGAGTCATGATAGCTGTATGCTATCACTTACTTGTCACATGCATCAATGCATGAAAAACAAGGCTTGCTTTGTGTATACAAAGTAGAGATTCAGCTTGCTTTACATAGGATTTGTGTTTGGTATATTCCTTTGCAAGTGCTGGGTCAGTGTGCAAAACCCAAGATTTTAGTATGTGTTTACAATAACATTTGTATGATCAGTCAATATCCTGGTTAATGTAAATCTGACACTAAGTTTAACAATGGTTACTTACCGAGAAAGCAGTGATCTGCCTTACTGTTTTTAAAATGCCAAGTCCCTTACATTGGAATATAGAAATATTTGCCTATCATCTCATTATCATCCAGGGTTTAGTGTAAACTGGTGATTTATATTATCTAACCTCTCTCTCTGGGTTTATAGACGGTGTCCATCACCGCAGTGTCTGAGGACCTTGCATATTTGTAAAAGAAAGCATACAAAGTTTTCATGTCAATGGTAATTTACATCCATAAGGGAACTTCACATGGTCTGATATTAATATTCAACCTCTCCTTAAATTTGATGTGGCTTGGCTGTGATGTAATCAGTGGAAGAGAGGGATTTTAGAAGCAAAGGGGGTCTGGAATAACATCAGAAGATGAAGCTGAGCAGAGAGGATGCCTGAGCAGAAAGGATGCAATTTCTCATGTCCCTGTGGTTGCTTGTCCTGTGCAGGGATTACATAGACTGACAGCTCCTGCCATGGCCCTGTTCCTTGCAGCTTCTTTCATCTCTTACTCCTGGAGTGCTCCTCAGGTAAAGTGCTTTATCTAAACGAATGTACATGCATTAATAACTCTCACAGGTGGTTGTTGTTGTTAGTGACGGGGCTGTGATAACAGGTCACTTTTCTCTCCTTTGGTGTGAAGGGTCACTTCCAAAGAAGAAACTGGACTCCTCAGGCTATGCTCTATTTAAAGGGTGCACGTAAGTCCCAAGCTATTTCAGCTTTAAGGAATGTAACGTCTCTACCAATGGATTGTTCTTTATATGCTTTATTCAACACAAGCAGAAAACTGAGGGGTAGTAAATAGCAGGGGAGGGGAGTGGAGATGGAAGCTCAAAGGATCATAGGGATGTGTTAAATGTGATCCCTTCTTACCTTGAAAGCATTGCTATTGTTTTTTGTGAAGAAAAACAATTGTAATTTTGGAACAGAAAAATGCTTAAACATTTCCAAAAGGAATGTAATTACAGGTTGGTTGTTAAATCTACTGGAAAAAATAACTTTCCCCTCTGACACTGATTTTTAAAAGACTTAACATACATTCGATATATTTAATTATTCCTTGTTCTTGCCTGTGCTTTATTAAAGCATCTCCACAAACAACAGGGTAGCAGAATTTTCTAATACAAACCTTTTGGCTTGTGCTGGGAATTCATACCACAAGAGACATCTGCTATCAAGGATGGAAAGACAGTGTTACCTATATCTTGGTAGTGCATTCTGTAAATGAATCTATTTTTGTTAGTCCAGCATTAAAGGGATAGTGCTTAATAATCAAATTTTGATCCAAATTGAAATTTTGTGGTTTAAAGAAAAAAACTAAGATCCAATGGAAATTTTACCATTTTTTTAAACAATCCAATGGAAACAGCTTTTTTAAAATAAAACAACACAACAAAATAAACATTTTGGATTGTGTTTGCCACCCAAACAATACAGCAATGAGAATCTAACAGTAAAATTTCCTATAGACAAAAAAAAATCAGTTTCACAGTCTACACTCATAGAAATGCAAAACACAAACAGCATAAATAATTTTAAAAAATAAATTAAGGGCCAAAATATTTGCTTGTGCAAATGGGAGAAAATTCACCAAAGTCAAGAAAGCTGCCTCCATTTATTCCAGCAGAGAATTTGGCCCCTGGTTTAAAAACAAACTGATATTTTTAATAATGTGTTGTAATTTTACTAATCTGTTTATTGCTATTACTGACACATTCAAAGTAATTTGTTTGAGTATCACATATTTTCTTTTAAAAAAATGACAATGTTCCTTTAAAAGCAGTTGATTTATAGGGTGTCAGGGATGTAGCACAGCAAAGGCATGTGAAAGAAGAGGCTGGTAAATTTCACCTGCAACTCCTAGAAAAAGTTAATAAAACAATGGAAAAGGCTGAAAATCATCAGCCCTTTGGAACAGAATGTAGCTCCGATAAAACATTCTGTTCTATGATTTAGATTGCGCTGAAATCAACGGATCTCAGACAGATGGAGATATATATCACTAGAAAGTTTGTATGGTTGTATAAATGTTATTATAAAACAGTTTGAAATTACTATTTTAGGGATCTCTAGTTATGGTTCACATGGGTATGGTGCTTTGTTTTCACCCCCTTTCCATTGATTTATTAGAGGGACGTCGATTCATCTCAGATGAGAGCCAGAGGAAGGACCTCTATGACAGATTGCAGCTAGGTAAGCTCATCTGGAAATGTTTTTTTTAAAGGGAAAAACTATTATATTATTCCTTATATAATATAATATAATTAAACTATTATATTATAACCCTCATTCCCTCCCAAAAATGATGTGCATCAGAATTGATCAGGTGGATGTGAACAGCAGGTGCATAAGAAATGCAGAAAGCTTCAGTTTAACAGTAAACAAAACATTCTCTCATGGGAGGAGGAGAAAATGGGAAAAATTAAACTGAGGGAAGCTACTTTTTAATGTTTTGTTTTGTTAGAATCAAATTCAAAGGAGCAGTGAATATTAAGAGTTGAATAGCTTAATCATTTCAAAAATCTCATTGGAGAGACTAACAGCCTAAATCTCCTCTCACTAACGCCAGTTTAAATGCATCATCTTACACTAAATTATTCCTGATTTACTTGGTGTAAGCGAGAGAACAAGCAGTCCCCTTTAACTTTCTCTCTCTGTTGGCAAAAAGTAAAATAAAATAAAGGTATGTTCTTGATTACTGTAATGTGTCAAACTATGACGGTAGAGAAAACACTCATTTAGACTATATTTATGGTGCAAACTGAACCTTGCAATTAGATAACAAATGTATGCAAAAAGAGAATGTACCTTTCACGCTGTAAGGAGGCTTTAGGAAGAATAACATTTGTTTCCTTCTCTTTAAGAAGATTATGAGGTTGTTTTCTCTTAGTGACTTAATGGGCTATTTTCAGGCAGAGAATTGTATAGAAAGTGACTGAAACAGCTTACAAAAATATATATTTTTTAAAAGTGTCCCTTTTGTTCTCAACTTGTAAAGTTTAAAAAAAAGCAAGGGCAGAATGTGAAATGCAGAAATTTTGCAGACACACATTGGCTAACTGTGCTTCATTGATATAGGTTTAGATCTGAGAAAGTGTGTTGGCTTTGTCTCTCCAGAAACACGCAGCCAAAATACAAATCCTATAGCTCTGTCGGAGGCTGCGGAAATATTTCTTAACTCCTTACGGAAAGCACAAGAAGGTAAATGCATCATTTATTTTACTCTCTGCGCTTCTAAGGGGTTTATGAATACTCCATTTATTAATGCTTTAAAATTAATCTGAGAAGATCTCATTTGGCTGATTACAAGTACAAACTATGCCCTCACGTATATTGTATTAGAGGTTACAATAAGAGAGATTGGAACATATATCTGAGAACTGATGGAAGGATAAATGTTGGCTTATCCTGCTTTGCTGTTTGCTTTTCTCATTTCTGTTGGTTAATTTAGCCACCATAATTCTGGACTCACTTCTTGTTATCTTGACACTTGTTTGTTTGGGCTCTAGGGACTGTTTATAGTGACTTGACATTCCAATAGCAAACTCCTCTTTTGGGTTCCTGTTTCTGAAGAATACAGTTCACGGGTGAGATCTGTACCCCCGCCTCTGGCTCCTTTACACCGGGTACATTGGGCTGATGTGAAAAAGCCCAAAAAGCCACACCACAGGCACTGTGGATGACAGTGCTAAAGCTGCCTCCCAAGGACCCCACAATGCCCTGGCATAGGGGGTATGTTGAGGGAAAGGCTGGGGCAGGAGGTGGGGCTGCAGCACGCAGAGCTGTGGCAATACCAAGCAGTGCTGTGGTCCATAGGAAGCCCCAGGAGGCTGTGGTAACTTAGACAGGCACCCAGAGCTGTGTCAATTATGCTGGGGGTTTTGCCAGTCCCTGGAACAGCCTAGGATTGGGAAGGCACCAAGGTGGCTTAAAGTCCCCTTAGCCTCTTGTGGGCAGTGAATTCTATGCTCTGCCTCTGCGACGTTGTCTTCACTATGAAAAAAAGGTGTGCTCTTAACTAGGGAAAAACCTAGTGAAACAAGGCAGTCTGTAGTTTTTACATGTGTTAGCAAGTCAAGGTAAACCCTATAGTCTCCCATAGCCTTTTACTCAACCTGCTAACTCATTTGAACACTACAAACTGTCTTGTCTTCACTAGAATTTTGCCTCAGGTTACCTAACGTGAGTTAAGAACACACCTTCTTTACATAGTAAAAACAAGCCCATCACAGAATCTCACGCTGTATGTATGCGCTTGTACTGGGCCCAGTCCTGTCCTTTTCTGGCAAAACTCCCAATATGTTGTGCTTAATATTAAGAAAAGCGTTCAGGTCTTCTATTCTGCCTCAGGCAAAACTCCCCTCAACTTAAAAAGTCAACAAGGGTTTTGCCCGAGCAAAAATGGCAGAACCGAGTGAAAGGTCTTAATATTAAACATAGTATCTTGTACACAGTGTGCAGGCTGAAGGTGAATTTGTGAACCTAGTGAATTTGGCCTTGTGTGTTACTAATGACAGCGGGAAACCACATCAAGTTCAAGCCCTGTAAAAGAAAGTTAACTGTATTTTCCAGTTTGTTATTGTTCACAAAGAAAAAAGGAACCACAGTGTCAGCCTTATAACCAGAAAATAGGAGATACGACAGACCTGATTAAGCATGTGTGGCTGGAAATGTTAATTGCCACAACTCACCAATTCCTTATCTTTATTAAGGGCTTGCTCCTCCAAGGTGCTGAGTGCTTTGCTTGCAATCCAGCAAAGTGCTTCAGGATGTGCTTAATTAAACCATCAATAGCCTAAACAGGTCAACAGGACTTCCTTAAAGATGAGCGCATGCATATGTGTTGTGCTAGTCTAAGGCCAGAGCGCTCTACCCCCTATAGAATTGAGCCCTAAGCACTTTTCTTCTTTGCAAAGAAATCAGAAAGGAAGGTAAGACTCTTATCGTCCAATTCCCTCCTTTACAGAGAGCAAATACAAAACCTATTCATTATTTAAGCCCTCAAAATAAAAAGTGGGAATTCACTGGTGTGTAAGTTTTCTGTGGGCCCTTTGCACAAAGGTGAATGTCACCCAACGTGGATTTAATTGTGGTGGTCAACATACTTGACCATGGATCTAGTGTCACAAAAGATTGTTACAGAAACATAGCTGTCAAACACAGCGCTTATGTAACCATTTAACCTCTCATCTCCCCCCCCCCCCAAGCTTCCCCTTCTTTTCAAGAGCCAGTTCAAAATTACTTAATTTTAAATTTTCCCTGAGTTTACACTACTCCACCATACAGACGCTGGGCCAGATCTTTAGCTGGTGTAAACTTTAATAACTCAGTTGAAGTGGATAAAGTTCTGACATTTTACAAGTTGAGGATCTGGCCCCTGGTTTCTTTCTGTTCCTCCCCATTCTCCCCCTTTTAATCTAGCTCCATTCTTCTTCCTGTCCTTCATAATCTTGCTATCAGAGCTAAGTTTTACACACACACACAAACAAAAATTCTTCCCACAAAAACAACAAATTGACTTTTTTACTATAATTTTTTCATTGCCATTTGTATCAAACTTTACAGACTTTTGTTTTCATTTGGATAAGCAAAAAAATTTGAGGAAACAACTGAGGAAAGAATTTCAAGAAAATGAAAAATGGGTTAAATTCTGAAACCTATGAAATACTTAGAAATTTTAGAATTTTATGCTCCCCCCTCCCCCTTTTTTCAATCTGCTCTCATACCTGGTGTGAGAGCCTTCCCCTGCTAAATGACCCAAATCTCAACAGAAAAAAAATGTATTTTCCCCCTCCTCTATACGCCCAAACTTACTCTTCTGGTTGTTCTGATTTATTATTTAACTCTGATTACATTAACTCCTGCGTGAAGAGTCTGGTTACAGCTTTTATGAAAACCCCGTACAGAAAAACATGACCTTTTAGTGTGCTAGGGGATGACAGAGTCAGAGTGCATAGAGTAAGGCATGCATTTTCAACCTAGATGATTTTTATTTTTGATTAAAGATTAAGGAGAATGCCCAACGAAAGAACAAATACACTGCTATCTCCTTCCTAGAAATGTTGTTTCTTTTATTGTCTTTAAGATCCTCCATCCTGACATAATATATAGCCCTGGCTTCTAGCAAGCAAGCAATCATCTTGTATTTAAAAGTCCAGTAACACAGAAAACATAATCATCACTACTTACATCACAAAGCCCCCTGTTTTTCCCCAGATAGTTACATATAATAGGGGTATGTCTCAGGTTTCTCTGTCACTTTAGCAGCTGAACTTCCTGTGTTTTAAGACTTTTCCTTTCATGCAGCTCATATCTTGTCTTTATTGTCTTGCAGCTGAAGAAGAAACCAACGATCACCCTGGATACTTAACAGACAATCTATTAAACTGGTGAAATATTTCAAGTTGCATCAACATGCCTATTCATCTCCCTTGAACCCATGGTCTATGTAAGCAAAATATTCTGATTCATCTGACTCCGCCTGTGTTCTGAAGGAATAAAGCTTGGAGCCATTTTTGCATTTTGAATGCAAACTGATTAAAGGTTATTGTTCAATACGGAAACTATTTTAAATTTGATTTCCTATCTTAAACCTCATTGCGTGCCACCCAAAATTTAAAAACCACTGGAATGTCTTAGCTTACAGGACCCAGACATCATATCGGTATTGAATTGTTTTTGATAATTTTTCCAAAACCTTCTCATGGAAAAACTTTCACCATATTCTAACCAACTCTGCACGTAAACACTTTTTAACCTATGACAGCAGCTGACTCTTTCACCACCACATTGCTGGTCCTGAAATCCACCTGCAGTGCTCTTGCAGTCTATTGATGTTCCAGTTAAATCAATGAAGTATTAGAATGCATCTAGTATATGGAGCAGCAAAGCAGGTGATTTCTGCTGGAGATATTTCATACTGTAGTGAACAATCAACAGGCTACCTATCTAGGCCTTAATCCTGCAAAATTAAAGTATATGCTTATCTTTTATATACTGTGAGTAATCCCATCAAACTATTCACAGTATATAAAGATATGCACATGTGTAATTCTTACCAGGATTGGGAGCCTTCCTAATGATCATGGGATAAATTCACCACTGTTATCAGCAGTGAATCTAGCCACAAATGGCAATAGGGAAATTGCACGAAAATATATGTAATTACACATTTTTTATGCAATTGATGTATTTACTTATTTGCTTTCTGAGCTGCAATATAGGAATTACACTTGAATTAGCTAATTGCTATTCCACACTGATCTGGACATGTTTCACATTGCTATGTAGTTATATGGTAATTACCAGAAAGTGTTCTGGAGTTATGTAAGTAAAGAATAGCCACAGGATACTTGTGTCCCAGCAACTAGGTTTCTTTTTTTTTCAAAACCATTTGCCTGTGATCTGTCTCATGATGTCAGCATTGATTAATGCCACTAATTTGCAATCAATGCAATGTTGTTTCCCACATGCCTGAAAACAACACAGCTGAAATAATGGAGGAATTAATTTCTTTGATGTGTTGATTGATACTTCTGGTAATTTAGCTAAATTTTTAATCAGTTTTGGGGGAAATTATTCGATGGACTACGACCAAATCCTGGTTTTTGAAACAGAGCTAAATCACCCAGGCGTGGGGGGTGTTAGATCACTCCATTCATTCAAAATCCCACTTACGGGCTTCAGCTGTAGCCCAAATGAAGTCAATGAGAATCTTTTTATTTACTTCAAAGGACTTTGGATGAAGTCTAATCTGAATGCCTCAGGTGTTTCTGTATTATTTTTTTGGCACGAGCTGGGGTTGTACCGTACCTTGGAGAAAAGTAGAGGGGTTATGTATCTACTGATCTGTTAGATTATCCTAACCTTCATGTGCCTGAACATTTCAGAGCTACAGAAAAACATTAGCTATATTCAAGATTAATGGACTTTTTTATGTTTTACTGTAGGTCCATGCCCACTAGCGTGGACAATTCCTTACAAATGTCATGAAAATAAATAAAAGGTCTGCCTTACTTGGAAATGAGCTGTTCTTGGAGCCTTCATGTTTTCAATATGACAGCTAACTACTGCCAAGTTTGTCAGACGCCAATTAGTGACCCAATAATGAGATGAAATCAATGGGGGCTGACCTTTGGTGAGCTGGTGTCTTAGGTGAACGCTTATTTTAAGTCCTTACTACCTTCACACGATCAAAAGGCAAAAATGTTTGGTAATATTTAAAACACATCATACTCTTGAAAACCACCTCTAACATTCAGGGCAGAATTAAAATGAGTAAGCCTAGTGGTGTGAGGCATAGATCACTTTGGCTACTGTGGGAAAGGAGACAGTATTCATGTGAGAAAGTAGGCTGCTTGGGGCATCTAGTTATAGAAGGGAGTCAAGAGACCATGCGTGACTTTGATAAGCAGAGGACAGTGTCCTAGATAGAGGGATCTCTGCCAGATCATCAAAGGTGTTTTTTTTTTCCTTTTACCAGCATCATCTCACTCTCCTCTGGGTGAAGCTTGAGTCAACTGGTTTTCATCCAATTGTGTAGGAAGCTGGTCAGTTGACTGCAGTGTGTGAGTTTGATGGGATTGAAACAAAGAGCTGGGTGTCATTGGGATATTTTTGGCATTTGAGCACAAGCCAACTCATTATTTTCCCCAGTGGTCTTACATACTGGGGCCATGGCTGAAAATGGGTATAGGATTTAATCTTGTGGGAATCTGCACATTGGATCATGTATGTTGCTCATTGCAACTCTGTGGGACAGATCCAGAAAGAATGAGTTAAGTTGTTTTAATGCAGTAGAGCTTGTCAGTAAATTTTTGACTTAGCATGTATGTCGGAAAATGTCGATTTGTCAAAACTAAAAGAGTTTATGGGAAAAGATCAATTTTGACAAATTTCCTGTTTAGAAAAGATTTGGGGGAAAAAAAGTTTGGGAAGAAATGTCCCTTTTCAACACTTTCAAAATGAAAGTTCCATTTTCAGGTCACAATGACATTTTTGTTTCAAAATTTAAGTTAACTTATAATAATAAAAAAATGTAAAATAAAAAGGTCAAAATCAAAATGAAACACTATGAAATGATCAGTTGACCCAATATGACATTTTTCAATGTTTTGGTTAGAAAATGTTGTCCAGATTTTGACTTTTCATGCTAGGTCAGTGTGAAAATACTTTTCAAAAATCTTGAAACTTCTTGCAAGATGGGAAACATGTTTTCTGCTCAGCTCTAGATGGTAGCTCTATTAAGTGAACAGCACATTGCCCACTTGTACCCGCTGAGAGTATGATCTGTTGTATCCTAGTGAAGCTGCATGGGTAGTTTAAGTGAGTAAAAAGAAATTACTCGAGCAGGGAATAATATTCATTATGAACAGCTTTGTGATGAAATCCAGCTGTTCTCCCCTGCCCCACCCCCATTCAGAAAGTTTTCTGAACAAAATGGGTATTTATAATATATTTGGCTTTCATCATTTTGCAACATAAGTTCTCATGAAAAATGTCATCTTATTGTTTTAGTTATTTTTCTTTTCTTCATCATCATTTCACAGGGCAGTGACTGATGTGATACACACATTTATCTTTGTGTCATAGAAACCTGGTGTTTTCTTCTAGGTGTATAATTTTAAAAAACACCTTTGTGAGTTAGGAATCTAAATCCCATTTTAACAAGTGACTTCAGAAGTAACTCCCAATGGGGCCTATATGCTTTTAAAAATCCCACTGAGGGCCTATCTCCATCTTTAAACACCTAAATACCTTTAAGAATCTGGTCCATAGGCATTCTGGAGCCCAAGTGTCATTGTAATTCACTCCTAAGTGCCGAAGACCTAAATGTATTTAAGCACTTAGTTCCCATTGATTTAATGCCCAGGTACCTTTGAGGATCTGGGCCTAATTCTCTTTTGAAAATAGGACTTAGGCACTTTTGAAAATTATACTCACAACTTATTCCTGTAATTCATTTACCTCAGATATACCGGAGCATAGAAACTGAAGAGAACTCCACAGACAATGCTGCCTTGGCTTGCATGCTGAACTCATTTGGGTTCTATGGGACTAGGGTAAGTCAGGGCAGACTTTGACACAGCATTGCACCTTACAGGAAAGCACTACTCATTATTTCAAGTTCACTCTTATTTTTTTTCACGTTGCACCTTTCATTTGAGGGGTTTGGTCAGATATTTTAAAGGGCAACCTCCCACATTTAGTACGGAGGGTACAAGAGCTGGGCCCATTTATTTTCTCTGCATTACAATAAGAAGGGGCAGTCTTGTCTGCTGAATAGAGCTCTAGACTAGGACTCTGGAGACCTGGTTCTGTTCCCCTTTCTGTTGATGATCTGCTGTGTGGTGATTTTGAGTGAGTCAGTGCACCACTCTGTGCCTTTGTTTCCCCTCTTACAATTTGTCTACTTAGACTGTGAGCTCTTCTGGGGAAGGACTATCTCTCATTATGTGACTGCACAATGTCTAGCAAAAAAGCGCCCTGACCTCAGTTGTCTCTGGTGGTACCACAGCTAACTAATGAACACTGCTAACTCAGGTAGTTCTATAGGAGGTCATCTTGTCCTGGAAATTTCCCATTAACAGATAGAGCTAAGGTCATCACCTTTAAAATTTAGATTTTTGAAAACACTGTTATCCCATCACAATGTGGCATGTGGATTTATTCACAGAGGCAAGGAATCATTTTCAGGGATTTTATAGCTTGCTTGAGACAAATCACATTAATTTTTCTCCCCAAACTTCATCAGCAAACCTCAGTGGAGAGAGTAAAAATGCAATAAAACAGAGCATTCAAAAGAAATCGAAAAAAGTGGGCTTTTTTTGTGGCTCTAGACAACTCCACCAGATGACTTCATCTGAAAATGCAAATGCCCACGGAGTAACACCAGATAATTTTCCCACAAGCAGCACCAAGAGATTTCTGTGCACTTCAAAAACATTCGGAAAATGATGCACATTTAGAATAGGAGAAACAGCAGAAGAAAAACAAACCATTTTCTTTTCAACATTTTTTTTTTAACCCTGCCAAGGTTTTCCCAGGTAACGAGTTCTTCAAAATGTTCCAGTTCAGGGCTCAAAGGTGGTGTCTGTTTGCAAGGGGAGAGGAAGGGATGGGAGTAGGGTATTCATTTGGAATGACTATAATGGACCTGTCTTCATGGATTACAGCTAAGTTCAAATAATTACACAGACAAAAATCTGATCTACGGGACGTGCCATCTAGCTGGAGCTATCACACGGAGTTTGTCACATTCTCTAGGTTAAATAAGCTTGGAAAAATCTCGTCTTCTACCTTCAAAGTAGAGAGGAGAATTACCATTTACTTGTAAGGTAAAATATAATTAGGTTTTCAAATAGTTTAACCCAAGTAATGTCTGTTTAAGATTCCCTAACCACACTGCACTGCCCTTAACACAGAGATTGACTAGCCTACACTTGGATGCTCTTTAGTGGATGAAGACCATGTTGCGGTGACAGCAAAGGAATTCAGTTCCTATATTCTCCATACTGCTTTTTCTTTCCTTGTGGCAGTGCTCCGAGGGAAAAAGGTGACTTTA